TCCACCCTGCGTGGCCTCCAAGCACGCCGAGAGCTCGTTCCAACGTCCGGACAGGACGAGGGCCGCGGTGGTGGCGGCGGTGGCGGCCTGGCGGCGGCCACAACTTTTATGATATCGGGCAGCCCCTGCTGCCAAGAGCCGAGCGGCAAGTGCTGCGGCTGGCTGGCTCATCTGTCGGCACGTAGAGCAGTCCTCTTAATCCGTCTGGCCCTCTCAAAGGCGGGCAAAAAACGAGAAAACTTGGCTCGGCTCTCCACGGTTCGGTGCGCTGTCTGCGCGACGCTACGCACCGCGAGAGGCAGGGGGCTCTGCCTTGGCTTTGCCGCTTTGCTGTCGTTGGTCGCCGGGAATCTATTCACCGCGAAGCGGCGGCGCGGCCCAGAGTGGCACGTGGCCGCGGCCTCACTCCACTTTTAATATAGGAGAGCCCGGGAAAGCCCCTGCAGCGCTGCAGGCTAAAATGAAGATTTTGAAATAATTTCAATGGAACACTTTTTTGCGTGGGGCTGCGCTGAGCAGGGATTCGAGCGTTGCTTTCTGTGGCCAGAGGAGGAACACGAACACAGCGTCGTGGCCAAGCAAACCAGCGGGTAGTACAGCTAAATTCAATTTGTAAATGGTTCAAACTTTTTGTTCGTTGGTTTTCATCGCGATTTCATCATCAAAAAGGTTTCATTCGGACGTCTCGCGTCTGCGGCCAGAGCCCGACAGGCGGGCGCCACTGGGATGGCAGCACTCGTGGCACCGCATGTGAGCTCTATTTATTTTTTTATTTATTTGAGGTGTCTGTAACGAGGTTGTCGGACCCGATGAAAGGGAAGCGGGCTCCGCGGATTGAATTCCAAACTCGTTACGTGATTGGCTCTCCCAGGACCCATGGCATCGCAGCAGGGGCCCTGGGCCACCGGGCGGGCGGTAGGCCGCTTTGAAAGCAGTGTACAACGACTGCAGGCGCAAGACTGTGCGCAAGGCCCGGCCGCCTGTTGCGCGTTCGGCCCGGCTCGGCCCCCGCCCGCATCTTACCCGTGTTTACTTTTCATCGGTGCAGCCAAGCCATGCGTGAAATTATCCTCGGCGAGATGAAAATGCCGCTCGGTATTGGATATCGATTTCGCGTGCTGACTGACTGGAGCCCATCAGATCAAAGTATTCGGGGCTCTGCGCGCTGCTCGTCGCTGCAGCCCTTTGGCTCTGCGCGTCTTGCCCTGTGGCGGCGGTGTGTCCCGGCGGCGCACCCCGTCCCACCACTCTTTGGTGGCCCTCCCCCCCATGCGGCGAAATCACATGGGATTATGGAACGGGACGCGCTTGCCGGCTGTACCCATATTCTGCCCCCAAGCCTTGTGGGTACTTACTTTTCAGGAGTACAAACGGGGAACGCCTGAACCCCTATAAGAGCATCTGCTAAGCATGATTTTACAAAGATACTCAAGCCGAGCCACCCAGAGTTTTTTTGACAACCGATCTTGCAGATTCACACCCCACGATATACTCTTATCAGAGTTATTCGGGAAACGCCCGCTCAGTCGTGCCTTGTTTCACATCTCAATAACGCTGAGTCAGAGCTTGAGAAACGCGAGAAGGTGCCTGGGGTTTCCTTGTATCTCTGCTTGAGTAAAAACGGGTACTCACGCGGTTCAGCATCCCGACAGGTTGCTGGTTCCGTTTTTCTGCTCTTTGGATGCGATGGGAAGACGATCCCGCGGCCCGGATCAAAGTCGGCCCGGGTGTGGACCGCCGAGCGGAAGGGAACGAGAACAAGAAGGGTTTGATCGTGCATGTCACGGCTCGGGAGGAGCCTCCGGTGCGGCCGTCGGGTTGGCCGTCGGAGAGCGTCCGCAGAACGCCGTTGAAGGAAACCCAGAAACTGCAATGCATTTACTATCACGCGCGAAGTTAAAACTTTAAATCTTCAGAGAAGATACGATAGAAAAATAAAAACAAAATCCTTTTCAATTGAGAATGTTTACAGGAAAAGAGACGGCAATTCGGTATTTTTTTCTGACACCCGCTTTCGCCCCTCTCGCCATTGAAATTTTCCGCTATTATGCACGAGAAGGAGGCGTCATTAGGGAGAGATGCGCCGACTTGTTTCCTCAAGATGAGTAGTACTCCCAGTGAGCGCCGCCTGAAGCCAGTTAGTCGTTGAAAGTTGTTGGCGGGTTCGCCGAGTCGCGACGAGTAGCTGAAGTTTGGCATTTGGCGCTCGCTCCCCGCCCCGCCGTGCTTTCCACTTTACCGGCGCATTGTGGAGTCTGTTGAAAGGGCGGGGCCCGGCGCGCTCGAAAGAACAATCATCAATTGTTCACCTTCCGTAATCCTGCGGTGGCACTTTTTGTCCACCATTTGCTGGTCAACGGCCAAACAGAACCCTCTCAACAGAACCCTCTCTCTGAGGGTGGAACACGAGTGCGAGAGAGGCAGAGCGACGAAGTAGCACCGGAGAACTGCACAACGCAACGTGAATGTCAATCGGGAGCCCACGCAGAGAAAATACACAGACGCCCATTTTGCGCTTCTTTTCTCCCCGGAACACCGGCCGGGCCGCAAACACGAAGGCAAACTGGCGGAGCAGTGCGGGTGCATTCATTATTGGAGGCGCTGGCGCCGCGCTAAAAACGGTCTTGAAAAATGTCGCGGCCGCAACGCGGAACGCCCTAGGAGCGGCGGTGGCCTTCCTCCCACCTGGTCACCCTAAGAAGCCACCCTACCTCTCCACCCTAGGTGGCCACCCTACCTCTCCACCCTAGGTGGCCACCTGCTCGCAGCCCCACCTTGCCCTGCGCGGACCTTCCCCGCCGGAATGGAAATGTGAGTGTGTGTTTAAGGTCGACCGATTTGAATAATCTAATCCGAGTGGGTTCCCGAATTAGGGACGACCGAGGCCGAACATCGCCGCCGCCTAATTGCACAGCACTGCCGTCGGCCAATTGGCTTTTCGAATTTGCGCGCGCGCAGCAAACACCACCACGCCGCCGGCCGGCCGAGCTGGCAGCCACCACTCGGTACCCGGAGGCGGTCAGACCCGGAAGAGGAAAAGTCGTGGCCGCGGGAGGGGGGGGGGCTGATCTTGAGAGTGACTGGCCGATTGATGCGGGGCAAAAAGAATACTCCCTGCTAGGGGTGGCTCAGCCAATGGAGGAGGTTATGGCACAGCGCTCTTTGGAAACGACTTGTTTTGCTCTGGCTGAGCCGAACCAGACGCCAGAGGTCGGGAGAAGGGAGTGACCACTTGAACGCTGCTATGACGCCTCGTTGTTGTGTGTGTGTGTGTCTGACTGTCTGTCTGTGGGTGTGTAGGTGTGTGTAGGTGTATGTGGGTTTGTGTGAGCGGGAAGTATGAGTATGGCTGAGGTGTGCGTTGGCATTGGCGCAGGCGTACAGATTACGCGTTTTGTTTGGGCAGGCTTGACAGGGGCCTTCAACGCAAACAAAACACCGTAATTAAATTTACAAAAAACAGCGCAGCGTGTTTGCAGATCTCACCGTGGTGTCAGCCAAAAGTCCATAAAAGTTGGCAAGCTCCCTCGTGGGAACGGGGAGGCTCTGGCGGGCTCTGGGATTGGGGTCAGTATGCAGGGGCCAGGACCTGGGCCTCGGCCAGGTGTGGCTTGAGACGCTTGAGACAGTACGGCTGTCCCGAGGACAGGCCTAGGACAGGCCTAGCCCAGCGGAGGCCCGGCCTGTAGGCGGCGTTCGTTGCGGATGGTCCGGCAGCACGCACTGTCCTTGACACGGGTCACGACGCGACACTGCGAAGGACCGCGCGACACTGCAAAGGGGCAAACGCCAGAAAGAGGAAAACAGAAAGGGACGGCCAGCGGTGTGCTTTAGTGGAATTAATTCAAATAAAGTGCTTTTCTCGCTGCGACCGGCCGGCGCCGCCCGGTTCCCTTCACTGTTCCCGGATCACGCGCAGTTCGCTATTAAAGGCGAATGTGTTATTCAACAGGACGGCGAGTCCCTCTTCGCCTCCTCAGCCAACGACCTTCTTTTATTGCTTCTCCATCATCGTCACTTCTGTCTCGCTCCGCCCGACGTCGGTGACGTCCCTTCGCCCGGGGCCCCCGCCACACTGCCTCTCCAGGTCCGCCGGGAAAGTTGTCCGCCTCGCCTCGCCTCGCGTCGCGTCGACTCGTCCCAAACTGTCGTCTTGCCCGGCATTCTTCGGCAGGGATCACTGGCCGGGGCTCCCTGTAGCCGTTAGCCCTCGATGCACCCGTTTCAATATGACGCCCCGCTCCTCCCCAAAACTTGGCGGGTCCATCCCGTGGCTCGTCGCTAGGGTTGCCGCCCGGGCGGAGCCCCGGCCCGCGCCAGGGGGCGACACAATCGCTCGGAAATTTGCTTCCCGGGGCGTGCCGGCGTGCGTTGGATCGTGGGAGGAGGACAAATGGGGCTCCCTCTCGGCGAGATGTAAGGGTGGTTATGGAGGAGCGCCGCGCGATGCCTGCTCGCGTCTCCCGGATTGCTGGCACACGCCTCGCGCAGGCCTCGCTGGAGGCCGTGTTCCTGGAGGCGTGCTGCGCCGAATTGGCTGAATTGTAACCTCGCCTTCCTTCCTCCCTCCCTCCTTTTCTTCCGTTCGGCTCGACGTGTGAGGTGCTTCGGCCGGGCCGGGCCGCGCTGGGCCGCCGGGCGTTGCCGGGCCGCCCGCCACGCGGAGGGCTCGTTAAAGGGGCCTTCAAAGTGCCGCATGCAGGTTTACGGCTCCCTGCAGCGGGTGGCAGCGGGCTGATAATCTTACCAACACACACACACACATGCAGGCATGCACACATACATATAAATGTACATGTAACGACGCCTCAACTTAAAAAGAAAAAAAGTTTAAATTAGAAAAAGCTAACTAAAAATAATTTTGACTTTTTTTAAAATTTGTTCTTAGGGCATTTATAAGCATTTTCTCGAAGAATTTTATTAAAATAATATCATTTACTACTCACGCTTGCACATTGCACACCTGAGCTGAGAGCAACACGTTGGTCTTGTTGTTCCAGGCAACCTGCTGGTCATCATCGTGGTCACGCTGTCGCGCCGCCTGCGCTCCATCACCAACTTCTTCTTGGCAAACCTGGCCGTGGCCGACCTGTGCGTCGGCATGTTTTGCGTCTACCAGAACCTCTCCACCTACCTGGTGCAGAGGTGAGTATCTTTCACGTTTTCCGTTTTTTCGAAGAGGGAAGTTTTTACGGCCCTTGCCGGCGCGGCGCCGCCGGGCACGAGGAGGGCAGGAAGACCACGGCAGGGCACCGCGTCGATTTGCTGTTGTTGATTCGATTGGTTGCCACGTGCCACGATCGCACGCAGCACGTGTAATCGTTTCATGTTTCGCCGTCAAGGGATCGAAAAATGATTTCGTTTGTAGTGTGAGGTTTCGGTGTGGCGCGTGTGGCGCGTAGCGGAAAACTGACTCTGCCAACAAAAACGCAGCGTTTCGTATTTTAAAAAATAGCAAGAAAACGGCAGAAAAATAATTTAAGGCAGTGCTGCAGCGGGCCGGGTAAAAATGTCCTGCGTGTACAAACTCCAGACGCATGTAAAGCCCGGCGCTCGAAGAACTTGGGCCCATTATTCGGGATAGCTAGATGTGTTTATGGCGACTGTGGAGCGCCAGATGGCTGGATTCGAACGCGCCCCACCCTGCCCCGCCCCGCCCCGCCACACTCCACCCCACCCTACCCCGCCCCGCCCCGCCTCCGGAATCGACAGCGCGGTCGGCACACCTGCGTCTTGCCCAACTTCCCCTCCTCGAGCGAGCGCCGCTAGCAAGTCCAGTCTGCGCCGCACTGCATGCACACTGCCGCGCCGACTGGTCGCGACTCCACCAGAGCGCCTGTGAATCCGAGGGTAGGCAGCCCGCCGCGCTCGGACGCGCTGCGTGGGCATGGCTGCCTACGCGCCGGGCGCTCCAAGCAGCCAGGAGCGCGCTGTGTGTGCGCGTGTGCGTGCGTGTTGTTGTTGTTTATGTGTGTGTGAAGGTGTGCGTGCGTGTGTGTGTGTGTGTGTGTGTGTGTGTGTGTGTGTGTGTATGGGTGCGCGGGCCTGTAAAATGGATGGCGGGGCCTGATGGAGGGTCACCTTACAATGCGCACCTGTGTGTGACCGCCACGCCTCGCCACTCAGTCGCCACAATGAAGGGGTCGTCGCTCCCCCAGCACACACACACACACACACACACACACACACGGACGGACTGGGAGGCGCCGCAGACTCCTCCGTGGAGTGGGCCGCGGTTCATTGTCAGGCAGAAACACGCCGGTCTGCATTACGCATACTGGCTGCCGAGTCGTTGCCCCGACGGGACGTATGGCCGCCACCGTGGAAGGCACTGATGGATCCCGAGCCGGCCTGAGGGAGGAGCAGAAAAGCATTTTTTTCGCCTATTTGTCGGGTCCAAGTGGCTTGCTTACCTTTCAGGCGACTATCTTCAAATTGTCCTCTCCCCCCCCTATCCTCCAAAACTGGATCCGTGCCTGCGGTTGCGCGAAGGCCGCCTGCAAGTGGTCGCGGTGCCGCGGGGCGGGTCCGGGCGAGTCCGGGTTAGCCGACCGGCTAGCTTGGCTGCCCGAGCGGCGCGCGTGCAAACAGTAAAGTTTCGCCACCAAGCAATCCCAAAATCACTCCACTTCCGGTCGTGTTCCTCTGGCGGCGCCGACCGTGGGCGGAGGAGGCTCGGCAGGGCGCCCCAGCCTCGGTGCCAAGAGCCGCGTTTCTTTACTGAGAGGAATTTTGTTAAAAGAAAGGGGCACAGCCTGGAGGCTAGAGCGCCTCCGTCCGTCCCGCCCCCGCCGCCTCCACCTCGCATTCCAGCAGCAGCAGCAAGCAGAAAGCAAGGCGATAGGCACGCAGCGCGCCCGGACAGGTCAGGGAACCCCAACGGCGAACGGATGGGCGGCGGGGACGTCACCAGTTCCACCAGATCGGACAACAATCGGCGTAATAGCGCCTGGCCGGGGTTCGTGTGGTGGGACCGGGGCCCCGCGGGGGGCGGGGTGCCAGCCGGGGTGTTGCCAAGCACTCGTTACGGCCAGCAATGATTGGCCGCTCTCCAGTTGCCGTACTGCGACGCGCTGCGACGCCACACAACGCGACCTCCCCCCCCTCCTATTTTCCCTTTTTGCCCAGCCAGTTCGTTACACGCCGCCAGCCCCTCGCGCCTCATTCCCAAACGGGTTCTCTCTTTTTTGTCGCCGCCACCGGAGGTTTAGGGACCCGTCCAAGCGCGAATACTTCGGGAATACTTTGGAGCCCGCCCTGCGCCTTGCCGCGGCAGCGAATGGTTTTGTCCGGGGAAGGCGCGGCCCCGTTAGGTGGTTATCGCTTCAGCGTTGCTGTTTTTTCGCGATGCACGCGGTGGGTCATATGGGCGGAGAGCGATTCCGAGCGCTGCTTTCTGTCTCCGTCTCTCTCGCACCCGTGGGGCGTGCCGCATACGTGCGAGAGAGAGCGAGAGACCCCTGGGCCGCGGCCGGGCAGGGCGCGTTGTGCCTCACTTTGCGAGCGCAGATCGCGCCGCGGGGCTGTGCAAAGTTTGCGCTCGGCGTGGCGGAGGCGTGGCGGAGGTGGGGCCCGGCGGGGCAGCCAACGCACCCTGCGAGACTGAGGGCTCTGCGGGCAGTGGGGGCAGTGCGGGCACCTCGGCGAACACACCCGGCGGGCGGATGCAAGTCAAGGGAAAAGGGGGGGGGGGCTGCGGTCGCGACGTATCTACTGCTGCTTGTGGTCGTCGCAGCGGAACCGCGCGGGTGTGGATCAAGGTGTGTGTGTGTGTGTGTGTGTGTGTGGTGTGTTTTTGTGTGTTTGTTTTTACCTGGCCCCTGCGCTGCCTTGCCTGCCGTTGGCACGAGTTTTGCCATTAGTCTGCCGGCGTGGCGCTGGGAGCGCCGCGGCCAAGTTGACTGGGTCAGGGTGACCATTTTCGGTGCCAGCACCGCATCCATTGCCAATACTTCTATTCCACAGGCCAACTGTTTGTGTCCTGGCCTTTCCCTCCCCGCCCCTAGCCCTCCTAAAAAATGGCTGGCGGCGGCGGTTGTTGTTGGCATGGTGGTGGCTAGGTGGTGGTGATGGTGGTTGGTGGTGGCATAGAGGTGCGGAGGTGGTGGTTGGGGCTAGGGGTATTGGCCTTCCCCGGCGTTTAACTTGGCGGCGTGTTAATCCTCTGCGAGGCCTCCGCCGCCCCTCCGAACGACGACGCCGACAACGCCGCGGCCGGAGTTCGCCCCCCTCGCCCTCCCTCCACAGAGGTCATTTAGAGAGGACTCCTCCGCCTCCGTCAAGGAGGGACGCGGCGAGGCCAGGCAGGGCGAGGCCCGCAACGCATTGCTGCGCAGTGCGCGGTGTCGGCGCAGACATCGCCCCGGTTTCGCGGAGTGGTATTGCACAACAGGCACTAGAGGGGGCTGCCGCCGGGCTGCCGCGGCATGCCGGGGGCCGTCTGGAAGACGTCCGTGTCACGGCGAGATATTACTATTCTCGAGCCAGGCGGGTGGCGGACGGACAGACAGGCGGACAGAGGGACGGACAGACAGGCGGACGGCGAGCGGACGAGCTGCGGTGCAACCCGCACCCGCGCCGTTTCCCGAGCGTTCACCCTCCCGGTGTGCGTCTCGTGCTGCTGCTGCTGCTGCCGCTGTTGCTCGCGGGGGAAGATATTGTATCGCATATGAAATGTGTGAACGCGAGGGAGAGGGGATGGAGGGAAGGCCTTTTGTGCGTATCGCGTCTGTACCAGTCTGTACAGCCTCAGCCCTCTCACCCTGGCAGCATTGTGCGGTCGGGCCGAGTCGGGCGGCGGTCCATTTGGGCGCGGTCTGTCAAGTCATAAGGACACCGGGCAAACAGACGGACGGACAGGCGGACAGACAGGCGGACGGACGGACGGACTGACAGTTGGACGCCCTTTGACACAGGCAGCACGGCCGAATTGATCGCCTGTTATATGGGGTTTACATGGCGACGGCGCGCGCAGAGGCGGCGAGGCAGCCAGGCAGCCAGGCAGCCCCGCCACTGCTCTTCGTTCTGCCAAATATTTCATTTCCAAGCCACGTCGCACCGCGTCGCACCAGGCTCTCCGAACGGTGGCTTTTCGTCGCTCTCTCTCTCTCTCTCTCTCTCTCTCTCTCTCTCTCTCTCTCTCTCTCTCTCTCTCTCTCTCTCTCTCTCCCCCCTCTTTTTCAACAGTCCCGTACGGTGCGAGAGAGACAGTGCGACGAAGCAGCAGAGAGGAGCGCGCCGTTCGATGAGAAGTGGGTAGGAGGGGTTGGGTGCGATGAAATTTCCGGCGACGGTCCCACGGTCGTCGTCGTCGTGATGAATGTAGCAGTGTAGCGGCAAAGGGGCGCGCGCAATCAAGACGAGGGCCGTCCGGCGAAGGCTAGGTTAGCCCGGAGAAAGGCAGTCGCCGCAGCGGCGAGAAAGGAAGGGGGGAAATGGAGAAAAAGAAAAGGGGAAGGAGGAAAAGCGAGCGGACCGCGATGGATTGCCGGAGATGGACGTGTAATGAGGTGGAGAGTGGAGACAACGGGGACGCCGCCCGGTTTGTTCTCGTCGTCGCACACGTTGGCAGACGCGCCTGCAGTCTGGGATGGAGGTACGAGTGCTGGGGCGGGGCGGGGCGGGGCGCGGCGGGGCGGGGCGCAGAGTGTCCTCCGCGCTGAACGGCATCCCCGGGCGCGCATTTTCTCCGCAAGTGTGTCAAGGGCCGCTCCTCCTAACACGTCCCGGTGCGAAAACACACTCTCGAAACCGAGGACGGGGCGTGCCCGGCGTGCCACGCGGGCAAGGCAAGACGAATGCGCGAGCGCGGCGCAGCCTGGGGCAACCTGAGGCAGCCTGGGGCCAGGCGGTGCAGTAGTTGTCCTGCTGCTTGCCATGCCCCCACAGTAATTTTGTTTCATACACAATTTTAATTACTATCTTTGGAATGAGCCCGCATACTACCCCGTATAAGGAAACCGAACGAGTATTAACCGAGAAATTTGAAAGGGAAAAGAAAAAATTTGAACTCTACACCCCCTCCCCAGTCTTAATGGGGAGGCCTCCTGCTTTACTTCGGTGTTCGGGATGGGAACCGGTGCTATCAGGTACCTGGGGTTAATCCCGTCAGCGACCCAAGCGTTCGCCGGGGGACCCAGTAGGAC